ATCTATTTATCCAAACGAGTATCTGCGTCGCTCTCCGCCTCACAACCTATCCAATTAAAATGTTTCCGAGGGTAATAATACTTTCTTGTTTTGGCACGAAGGTGGTCGACGAACGGGTCGCATTAATATTCCCCCGAAACTCGCTAGCTTCTCTCCGTCGGCGGCACGAAAACACATCCAAAACGACGAAATTCCGGGAAACGAATTAACCATACCGAGTTTCTAATGATGTAATTCCCCTGCATAATGCTTAAACTACAGCTTCCGGGATTACCGGGGTATTTTCGACAGTAAACGCGTATACACGCTTCGAACCATCTGTCAGATATTTCATTTTGCACGACGTCGGTCGTAAGATAAGCCAGGGTGTGCCAGTCTCCTGGTCGCACGGTGTGTACGCTGGTTCAAAGGAACGATACCCCCGAACCCAGGTAGCGTTCACGTTCTCGAAATATTGCTCAAAGTCGTAATTAGCATTATTATCCGGAGGGAGACTGAAATCCCTCACAGCGATACAATTCGCTGCACGTTGCATCGCGTATAAATTATATCAGAGCGCGGCGCAAGTCGAATGAACAAACGGCCCCGTAGCATAATTCGTTGCGCGCGCACGCGCACCGACTGGCTAACTTTTACCATAGGCGGCTATGAATTGTTCTTCCGTGGGCCGTGAGCTGGCCGTGCGCTCTCACAAACAACGGGAACCGTGTATGTATACACGATGCACGAGAAAGACATTCGATTTCGTAGAATCCAACTTCTTCCTTGATAATTGCACAAATGAAGTTTTCACAGGTATAGTACTCGCGGGTAAACTTCACTACAGGGTGGTACTTAACTTCACTTCAGGTCTGGTCCTTAGAAGCACCAATAAACACCATACGTTGAAAGAACTAGAATTTGAAAAATTGTGCGATTGTGACAGACGCCGATGAAACAAACAAGATGGCTGTTCAAGTCACATTTTGTCAAATATCACACGATTTAGTTGTTTTCTCGTGAAAAGCGGACCAGACCACCCTGTACACTACTGTGATACTATCGTAGAAATCCGATTTTTGATCATTTATCACCTGTGGAAGGCGTAAGTTGGATTCTACGATTTGACGCGTCCAGACTCAGGAATATACAGTTGTATAGTTCAAGGATTCTCCACTAGCAGCGCTTATGATATTTGTCAGTCACTTTGGCCATGTTACTACCGAGCATTGATAAAACAGAGGGACTCGGTAAATGTAACCTTGCAACACGTGCTGGATCGTATCGATTGATTCGGAGTTGGCCCCAAAGGAGTTTCCCCCTTCAACTGCTACGCCGCCGTCATCGTTTCTGTTATTGTTGAACGAAATTTGTAAACATATTTCCGAAAAGGGAACCTTCGCACAACCAGAGATGGAATCGCGGGATCCTAAAGCTTCGTCGTTGTTCGACGACCGATTGCGACGAGCCATCGCGAAAGGCGTACTCATGTATAGATTGTTATCAGCGACGCTCATACACGAAATATTTATACGCTGATTAGCCGACGATTCGCGGGTAAACGAGACTTGTAAATGCATAAGCGGTGAACTCTAGTGTTTACTACAAGGCGATAATGCGCACGAGATGTCTTATAACAGCGGTCACTAAAGTAAACGAGTAATTAAATAACCATTTAGAGCCAATTTTTCGAACGAAAAATACTGATTACTTCCTTTCTTAAAGCAACTTTACACGAGCAGTTACAACCTAGACGGGCTTAATTTTCTTGTTCATTTGTTGAAATCTTCTACTCTTTTTTTACTTGTATACGAATCAGAAATCTATTGACTCCTAGTAAATTAATTTTATGTGTATAAAGATAGGATATTAGGAAATGATTACTTCCGATTTTGCAGCTCCGAAAATTGTTACACTAAGTTGATTTTTACATAAAATGGTATTTCACGTAAAAAATCGCTTTATGGGAGAAAGCTCGGCTCGGTGACGGGCCTCGGTGAGGCGAGATGTTATCTGTTATCCTATAAGATAAGCCGCCAGCGACCGACGTTCGGGATACAATGTACACACAGAACGAATCACCCATGAATAAAAATTTAAACTTTTACTCCTTTCAGTGTACTTTCTTAAAAACGTTGTGAATAAATGTAGGAGATTCTCCTGATGAAAATAAGTCCAAACCCGACATAAATCGGACTATATTTAATAACAATACAATTCGTATCGCACCATAACACATGATTAAAAATTTAAACTTTTAGTCCTTTCAGTGCAGGTTCTTAAAAATGTTATGAATATATTTAGGAGATTCTCCCAATGAAAATAAGTCAAAATTTGAATGTAATTGTACAATTTATATTCATACGTAATGTTGCGATAAAAATGATATACCTATTATTGAAAATAGCCTAAATGATGTCTCGTTTGGACTCATTTTCATCTAGAGAATCTCTTCGCTTCATTTGTGACACCTTCAGTAGAGTATATTTATGCATGATTCTCATTCCTTACCTTCTTACATTGTATGCCGATGGACGGTCGCTGGTCTATTATTCGTGCTGACAAAAGTTATTCGAAGGTTTTGTTACAAGCCAAGGCGGCTGCCTAAGCGGCTGCGAGAGCCGAGGACATGGCGAGTTTGGTTTTTTAGAGTTTGTTACGTGGACGAACCTGTGCCTATTTCATCACAGGGAGCCACTAGGAAAGATTTTCGTGGACGACCCCGAGCCTATTTCATCTCAGGGAGCCACTAGGATTGTTAGTATGGGCCTCGTAACTTTTAAGAATTCGGTACATTTTGAGCGGTAAAAGTGTGCCTTTGTGGAAGCCAGAAGCTAATTCCAACGTTCTCGATTTTCACACACTGAGAAATGCGGGGATTTATTATGCAGAGTTTAGCTTACTTTTAGAAATGCTTGACAAGGACTTTAATACTCGATCTCACTAGCTAGACTTCTGATATGAGTATGATCCGTGGATGAGCTGTACGCGTCCCTTTTTATACCCCGAAAATCGAGTCTAAAAGTAGTGGGAGACACGCCTGTTCTCAACGGAAACTGCTTTCCAAGAAAATCTGGCCACGCCATAACACCCCGTAAGCAATTACGTAATCTGGCCGGATGTATTCTAACTCCCGATAGGGTTAAAAGGTCACGAAAGTGTCTTCGTACGTAACAGTTTATTGGAAATCTTCGATCATAAAAGATTACATATCTTAATATTGTAATTATTAAGTGTTAAATATTCATGGGACTTGGAATGTAAGTCGTATAAAACAAGTTTTGTTCTTTCAATTTGAAAAATGTGCAGTTTTCAGAATTGTCTCCGTTTTATAACTTAAACATAATCTATGCCTCATAGACAAAATGAATCAACTTAAAACATACAAAATCAAGGAAGTAAAAATCTCGGGCTGTAACCAATTTTTTTACAAAATTGGTCACGCTATTTGTTAATATCTCGTCGAGATACCCCAAAATTAAAAACAAAATCATCGCTCTACGCTAATTGGTTGTAGAGATAACCTGAATTTTCCGGAGTCTGCCAGATAAAACGCGCGAGATCAATTTCGGACGGCACGCGCTCGTCACGTGGCGGGTTCTTCCCACTCCGCTCCCGTCGCGCGGTGTCACATTTGCATACAATGCATACCGCAACTGTGGGATCTTTATAAGAGAAGCGACTGAATGTATTAATTCGAAAATTAAGGAACAGATCATTTAACTCTTCCTCCAGACTTCATTCAAATTTCAACTGTCAATGTTAAAAATTGACGCTACAGTGATGTAAAAACAACATTATCGCGACTCCTAATTAACTTAGAGTAAAATATTTTGTTTTAAAAGTAGACAAATAGCAACTATCGAATGGTCTATACGGCAATTCGAAGCAATAAAAAATGAAGATGTAATTCAAATTGTTTACAAGCAAAAAATATAACTATTCTTTAAAAATATAACAAAAATTCATTAGGATAAATTAAAGTAATACTATAAAAACACACAGATACTCTTCTACGAGGGCTATCACACTGCAACTAGATGTGTTGTCGTTGACGACTGCCACCGAACTAAAGAAACGTTATTCGAATCCCACGCAAAGGACAGAAAAGTATTAAAAGAAACAGGTATTTTCTATTAAGAATAACGTCTCAAAGACAAGTGAAAACGGGGTGGTCGATTCACAAAAAAAATAACGGAAGGCGTTTCGGAACCCAATTTTTGAATGTTGATAACGTGAAAATGAAACCTCCAACATAATTTGGTCATTCTTGTGGGATCGGGAACTCCATACCCAACAAAAAGGAGCAAAATAACATCTTGGGAAAATAGGAGGGTTCCGTGGAGTAGTGGGTAGAGTCTCTGCTTTCGGTGCCGGGGGTCGTGAGTTCGAATCCCGCTTGGGCCCTCTCATTTTTCCAACGCTCCTACATTCTTGATTCTCAGTAGCCGTACACTCTGTATATGCTTACAGAGTATGTTCTTAAAATCAAAATTTCAACTGGAATTCCGCTATTTTCAGCGTGAAATACTTAAATATCGACGGTCTTGTGGGTAAAAGAAAAGTACACACAGGAAAAAATCTGCAACTGATATTCAATTAAAAATATTTCCTTACTTATTGTGAAGTATTCCATGAAACATTCCGCGTAACTAAGAATAAGAATATACTTAATTGTTTATGAATTTATATGATTTCTCAAAACTGAAGAACTTAATTGTTCAATTTCACAAATGATTAAACCTTGTGTTGGTGACCAAAATTTCCACGCTTGTTTAAACCTTTGATATTTAAAATTCTTTTCGCACAGTCTTATCTTTAAGTTATAAACCGACGTAAAAATATGCAAAGAATGGGGATTTGGAGCGGTTTTGTGATATTTCCACAGGGACATAAATTTGTCACACGGGTACCCGGTTGTCAACGTAAGGGTTAGAGTAGTTGAATAATTTGTATAATAATATTAGTATTTATTTCTTTTCGTGTCACAAGTAACATTCCCGAACTTTTACTCTCTGCAGAGATGCGATCATAGTGACTTTGACGAACCTGTTCACTTCCATTTTCGCCGGTTTCGCGATATTCTCTATCTTGGGATTTCTGGCCCACGAGATGCAGGTGCCAATCGACGATGTAGTGGAAAGTGGCACTGGGTTGGCTTTCGTCGCGTACCCGGAAGCCGTGGTGCGGATGCATTTTCCGAATCTCTGGGCCGTTCTATTCTTCGTCATGCTGTTCATCCTTGGCATCAGCAGCCAGGTAATTATACACCTCGAGCGATCGAGGATCCTTGTTGAAACTAATGATGGATTGAAAATGTTCAATTAAGAAACTTCCCACGCGCCTCGGGGATGTTTGTTAAAATGAAAAAAATAAACAGACACAAAAAAATGAAACATTTCTGAACTTAAAGAGAAAACTCGCACGGATCGGTACACGGCGGCCAGGTAAAGAAGAAGGGTGAAGGTAAGAAATGAGGAGGGTGGTGGGGTTGGAGGGGGGGGGGTGTAGAAAGGAAATGTTGTAGACAGAGAAGCGTGGGAGGCGTTGAAAATAAAAAGGCATCGTTTTTCCCCGCGTTGTATAAACTTTAAAGTACGGCCCTTGTTCTTTGTACGGTGTTATTCCGCGCGAGAAAGAGCACGCGAGAAAATTCTCGTCCTACCAAGACTGGCTGAGAAGGCGTTATTCAAGTGGCCCGGAGAACCGGAACGCCGGTTGCTTGTATTCGTCAAAAAGAGCTGCGGGCGAAAATGTGCTCGCAAGTAGCCCAGACGATCGTTCCGTGTTACTTTTGCATCGCTTCTCGTCTCTTCGCCTCGGGGCTCGTATATCACGGAGAGAGTTATGGTTTGCCGTCCCAGTGAAATCCACACCTTTCTTTTCGTCCTTGTCTTCCCTCCTCCCTCTCCTCCTACCCCCCTTTTTCCTTCGAATGAGAGAGCATAGAAAAGTAAACGGGCGAATGCTGGGAAAAACGTGGCGCGGATAGAGAGAGGGACGGATAGATATTTGTGAAAGGAATAGCGAAAGAGTCTTTGTTTTCTACATGCTCCTCTGTCCTCCCTGCAGCCAGCACGCTGAAGGGTAATTAAGACGGACTGCGTAAAAAAAAAAAGAAGGAGGGCGGGCGAGAGGGAGGTGGGAGTTGAAAAAAAACAATTGTAAAAAAGAGAAAGGGGTAACGAGAAACCCCGGCGGGCTAGCATCGAATCCCGGAGTAACACAGTCGGTCATTAGTTTTTACGATACATAGTTCGCAGGCGTGCAGGCGATAAACACCGCCATATTGGACCTGCGACCAGATTTACGAAAACAAGAGAAGTACGTGGTGCTCGGGATATGCGTCACTTGCTGGCTTCTCGCTATACCGATGGTGTTCGACGGTGGTATTTACCTGTTCACGCTGATGGACTGGAATACCGCTTCTTGGGCGATACTATTGATCGGCATCGCGGAAGTCGGATTGCCCGCCTGGTGTTACGGTTGCAAGAAATTCCTGCGTAACATTGCCGAGATGGAAATGCGGTTCGGCTGTTTACTCCACAGCTATTGGTGGCTCAGCTGGGTTCTGCTCGCGCCTATCACCTGTCTGGTAAGTGCATCGCAATCGCATCCACCTTGTCCCGGGCCCCCTCGACGCTGAACCGTTGCCTGCGCGCGGCCGGGATCTTTGGAAATACGTGCAAGAAACTATGCCGAAGTTATTCGCTGATAATTAACCTCCCGGAATATTGAGCTTGTTTTCCCGAATACCGGATACTATTGGGGTGGCGTTTCCGGGCGCGTAAATGAGAGCTGTAAACGTAATTTGACAGGAACAGCACCGATGCCCCTTTATCAAGATAATGGGTAATCTTCATTACAGTCAAACCTCAGTTATCGAAACTAACAGGGAGACAAAGGTGTTCGGATAGCAGAATTTTCAGATAATAGAATAACTTTTTATCACGAGGAATTCTATAAAATTTCATGGGTCCCATGTCTTTTTAGCCGCTACATCGCGTAAATTTGTTAACACACGCAATTCCGTAGAGTTGTCTTCCCTTTGTGCCTTAAACCATCAAAGCCCGTTTCGAGGATACCGGCACCTCTGATCGTGTACAATGTAGATTTCATACTGAAATATTGTTAAGGAACACTGTTTTGATTGTTGTATATAGAGGAGGAACGTATACTATGCGAATGCATACGATTGTATATACAGGATGTCCTATTAATTATGGTACAACCAGGAAGGGGGTGATTATAAGTAAAAAAATGTATCGAAAAAGTGGAATGAAATTTGTGCATTCGAGACTGTTCTCAAGAAAATAGTCGTTGAATATTCGCCGGAAACGTGTGCACTTGACTATAGCGAACGGATCTCGATACAGATCACTATTTACTATACCGCATTTATTTCGACAAAGGAACAATTTACTGAACAAGCGGTACGAATGCTAGATTGGCTGTGGAGGTACAGTAACTTAGCCACATCGATCGCCGGATTTGTCATCTCATGATTTTTGTTTATAAGGTTCTGTTAAATTAAAAGTTTATTCTAAGGATAACAGTAACGTTCATTATTTAAAAGCGAGGATTATTTCAGCGTTTCACGAATTATAAGCACAAAATACGTTGGAATGCGTGTATAATATATTAATTCAGTGAGCACAGCTATGTGTGGAGTACCATGGGTAGCATTCTAATTGCTGCATTAATAAAGAGAATCTTAAAGATTACATGTCTCATATTTATTTGAAAACCCACTTTAAGAAGAGAGAGGTAGATAGCGGTACACAAATATTGATAAGAAATCAAAATGTGGGTTGTACCAAGATCCATTCAACCATGACATACTCAAGTGCATGTGTGCCCTGACAATATTCAAAGTCGATTTTCCCGAAAACAGTCTCATATAAAAAACTGTTATTCTGTATTTGCCGCTTATTTTTTTCACGTAGAATCACCCTTCTTCCGGTTGTACTATGATTAATGGGATACCCTGTACAGACGTGGCAGAATATAAATAGAGTGTTAACAGTGTTCTGATTAATCACTGTTCCGATAATCGAAGTTCTACTGTGTATGAAATTCTGTTATTCTGTCGGTTAAACGTTCTAATCCTTTATGTACAAGACTTGTTCTCAAATGACGGGGATACTATTCATATGGAATGGCATTATATACTGAAGACTTAAATACATATTTGGCATTCATATAAGTGATTACCTCTTTGCCGCCATATTGGCGACCTTCGATCCTATAAGTGTAAACTTCTTACTGATTCACAACTAAATGGAATTGGAGCCGCGTTTATTATAAACTATTTTTAATTTTGTTACGTATTACCACAGACAAGATATAAGAATAAATCTAACATCTTATAGGACTTAGTGTCCCACGAAAATCACGCTAGTTCGAGCGCATCTCTACATAAAAGTTTCCAACTTCAGGAACTACGTTCGACACCGTGATGATCACAGCAAACACACACCTGTGGCCCGTGACTGCATATAGCGATACATACATACATTATTGCCCCGGTTTCGCTAGCCAGGAATGGAGTACTGAAATGGTACGGGGGCTCCTGACGCCCCCGAAGCATGGAACAGAAAATTACATTGCATATTATGTCTATTTTTATATCTCGTCTGTGGTATTACATAGGGTGTTAATAAAATGGTTGAACACTTTCACAAAGTGGAGTTTACACGCAAAATTAAAACGAAAATTCAACATGACAAAATTGCGTTCCAGGCTTCGTTACTCAGATATTAATTATTGAAAAAACATTCCAAATACACGTAAAATACGTCCGGCACAATGGGTTATACTACTTACAACAGTCGATTCACAGGCGATACAGGGCAGAGTTGAGCGTTATTCGAATGAAATTTTATTCGAATAAAAATTCGAATGAAACTTTATTCAAATAGAAATTCGAATAAATTTTTCAAATAAAATTTTATTCAAATAATCTTAGAATAAAAGTTGCGAATAAACCAAAATTTATTGAAGGAACCAGCGAATAAAGGTTATGTCATCGGTGACACGCATCATCGGCACGCACCAGCGGCGTGTCGTGCATGAATAAGTGTGTGAGTGCCGTGTAGGGGGTGAAGCGATCTCCATCGATCATTTCGTTTACGCACCTAATATTCTATATACCAAGCAGTTATTAAGTCTACGATTAACTATGTAAAACTACAGTATGAACAAGTATCGCGATGCAAGTGTTGTAGCCACAACCTGGTTTAAGAAAATGGGAAAGAAAGGCGACACCTCAAGGAGCAAGGAGTACACAAGTATGGTAGTGCAAACGAGATTTTCTGTTCACGGAGCAGGCTCCCGCCTACTCCGTACCCTTGCACGCACGAATCTTTCTCCAAATCCTATTTGCCAGGCAAAGACTAAACACGTCCGATATCTGGCTTCTCAATAGAAACCAGAGGGATCGGCAAACAGTCTTAGTGTACAGACCCACTGCCCGTACCCCAAGTCTGTGTAGAGAATCAACGAGCACAATTTATGTCTATTAATAGATAGACTAAAATTAGTAATAATAATTATCATTACGATGTGATGATGAATATGAATATAACAGTAAATATCGAATTATGATTTAAGTTTAACCTACAGTAACTTAACGCAGTGGTAGACGCTTTGAGGATGTAGACGTTAATCGATGTCTTCTTTCGATGGAATAACTGATTGGAAAAATATTTTTCATTATACAATACACATAGAATACATAATATGCACAGTAAATAAATCACAGTATAGAAATCACAGTAAATAAATCACAGTAAATGAATCACAGTATATAAGAAAGTAAATATCGAAGCCAATGTTTCTCGAACATCTGTAACATACAAGGGATTAGTAACAAGAGAAGGGACACAACAATATGCACAGTAAACAAATTAATAATATGCACAGTAAATAAATTAATAATATGCACAATAAATAAATTAACAATATGCACTGTAAATAACAGGTTCCTTTATACGGTGGTTATCGAATGCCTGCAACACACAATGGGTTAATAACAAGAGAAAGGACGAGTATGAGACGCGCGCCGTGAGGAAGCTAACGCCGTTATGTATTGGGCGTACGTAGGTTATTACGCAACAGCTAGTTTCTTTGTTACGTTTGTTCGAGTTGAATTGTTTTTGCCGGCTTGAATGACCTTTCTCCTTGAACGACTCAAACACCGGATGGTACGACCAGGTACGGCCATGGTACACGGCGTACACGGCTAAGTGAATAAACTGTGTGACGCAACGTCACTAGCGCGTTGGACCGACGGAAAGCACCTATACCGCGGCACGCTCTACCGTACTCTCTCGCTCGCAGACCTCCCCCATAGACCACCGAAATTCCTCGGAACGCGTTAACACCGACGGAGAGCACCGATGCCGCGGCTCGCTCTACCACTCTCGCTCTCTCCCGTTCGGCCACTCCGACCATCTTCGGCATCGTTCGGTACGCGTCGACACCGACGGAGAGCACCGATACCGCGGCTCGCTCTCCCGCTCTCGCTCGCTCACGTTCGACCGCTCCGGCCATCTCTGGCACCGACGGAGAGCACCGAGAACCGCGGCTCGCTCTACCGCTCTCGTTTATTTATGATGTTCATATTTCCCAAATAAATATCATTTTTAACTAATTTGTTTAAGCGACATGTTCCTTTTAAAGATTTAGTTCTCCAGTATAAATCCCTAAGACCGTTATTTATTATTCATTTCATATCGTTAATTACGATTTTTCTCACAGGATACCGATTTCTATTACAGTATCACAAAATAATTGCAAATATGAAACTTCTTTACCTCTTCTTGAACATTCTAATTTCATAGCCCTAAACTGGGTACCCGAAAGTATTTCATTGAATTTGTGTAAAAGATTTTACTACTTCTTAAAAGACTCCGTGTGATATTTGATAGCCTAAAAAACAATGTGCCGATACAGGGTTTCGATTTATTTACGAAACTAATCTAACCAATTGCTGCATTCTTTGACACTAATTTTCAAGAAAATAAAACTTCTGTATTTCACTTAATTTGAGAGACACGTAGCTGAATATTAACATATGTTCATTATTTAATCACTCGCAATAAATAAAATTTGTGTAAGTAAATAACGTGTAAGTAAATTCATATGTAAAAATTTACCAATTGCCAGAAAGTAATTGTTCGTGCGTATTAAGATTCTTACAATAGGCAGTAAAACTATTCATACTCCCATATCAATTATAAATATGTAAATGTTAATAAAAGCGGTGTATATATTCTCCCACATGTAGATTTGATAAACTATTTATAAAACTACATCTATTCTGAATTTATCTGTTACAAATATCCAAATGTAAGGCAAGATATAAAAACGAATAAAACAAGAACATGTAAAAAGTAACATTAGTAAAATGTCCAGTGACGATGCATTTAGAATAAATTGTCTTGTAGTTAAGTGAAAAAATATATACATTTCCGTTTCATGTTTCATGAATGTCATATTTATCCCTTAGCCTTAAACTGAAGCATCGAATATTTTTGTTCCCGTCAAATCATATAGATACACGCAATATGAATGGAATATATAATACTTCAT